ATCAAGTTCTAGCATCGTGGACATTGGCCTTTATATGGGTGCGTTCTTTTAGGCATCGGATTTGGCAACCGCTGCGCATCGGATTTGCCGGCTGACGGAAATCTGCGGTGCAGTCGACTGCGCAGTCGGGCTAAAAGAATGAATTACTGCAAAAACTGCTGTATCCGATGCCTAAAAGAACGCACGGTATACGTTTCATGCGCGACTCGGAAAACGCACTCCGTGTCTTCATAATCGTTACGTTTATGATTCTAGCAAACTAGCGATGCTAGTGATTTTTAACAGGCTGCAGGATTAGAGGTTATTTTGCGTATATTGTTATCGTAATATATATCGGTTTTGAAAACTCGCGAAATGATTTCTGCCTTCATTTCACAAAGAGTTCCAGTGACGTTTGTCGCTGGCAAATTCTACAAACCGTGTTTTCGTACCATAAGTAAAAGTTCTTCCGACAACTCGGTAGAAATTAATACTGCAGTGGAAAATGACATGGTAAGGGCATTCCGAAGTGTTTGATTGCACTAAAAATCTATGATTAACTTTAGATTTTTTATGTTGTCCGTACATCTCGAAATATTGCGAATTATAAAAATCATTGCTTCGTGTATTCTGCAAATCGAGATGTATCTCTGCGCAAGGTTTCATCGTATTTGTTGCGGTATTTTGTTCTTGCCTCTTTTTAGATTACTTTTATATGTTATATTTATATATTTCTTTTGCATTTGCAGCCTATCGAAATTAAAAATCCCTATGTAAAGGAAAAACAGCAGTGTATCCTATGTAGATTGGGTATTGATCCAGATTATAAGAATATAAGATTGCTTTCGCAGTTTCAAAGTCGATATACAGGCAGGCTGTATGGAAGGCACATAACTGGGTTGTGTAAAAATAAACAAATGAAATTAGAACAAGAAATTGCAAAAGCTCAAAGTGCAGGTACATCCACACACGCACACGTGTATTTTTTAAATTTAGGAATGTGGATAATAGATTTGTTAAATTACAACTATAAACATTTGTTTTTATATTTTAGGTTTGATGGGTTACTGGACGAAAGAACCAGAATATGTTAAAGACCCAAAACTATTTGATCCAAATCACCCATTTAGGCCACACAAGTATTAAGCGAGTGATATTACGTAGCTATATACATGTGTACGTACATTCATGTTTATACATAAACGACAAATAAGATGACAAGTGAGATGATTATAGTGCATTGTATTAACGCCACCAAATTTTTATTTATTTAAAGAATTTGTCGTATTTACGCCAAATGAAACTTTTATGTTCGATTATACATAACGAATAATTTTGCCAGCTGAATGTTAAAGTGATTTTATAGAATACCATATGCAAATCTTGTAATATTATAATATAAATTTGTACTGTTATTGGATACCAAATAGTTTTTTAAGATAACACGAAAATTATCATCATTACAAACATGGAACTATATGATTTGTTTTACATAACTTAATTCTTTAAATTGTTCTGCATATAAAAGTGTAAGACAGTGTAGTTACAGAAAGAAAATAAATAGTTTATATAATATTTTTTATTCTGGTAGATTTTGACGTAAAACAAAACTTTTCACAAACTATTAATTTTTAGGCAAACCGTACCTTAATATCTTACGTGCAAAACAGTGAGATGAATCGGATAATAAAAAGAAAATGCAAAACTACTTTTCAGAAACGACGTGACTGCATATATTTCATAATTAACAAAATTGATATACATATTAAAACATTAAAAAAAATAAAAACAAAGAAATATAAAGTGTACATACATCCTTTCCCTTTCACAATGCGTTATAATGTTATAATGTGTTCACATGTGTTATATTCATTTGTACGCACATCGGTTTATGTCATATACGTACATTTATTCGTCAAATATTTGCGAAGTAAATTTTCTATCAACTTTTAGAAAATGTCGTTGAATCGATTTATTGGCTGGTTACAACGAATATCTCCTCTCTCTTTTTTTTTTTTATCAGTATCGAGCAGTCCACGGAACCGTAATGGTCGCGCATGCGCGTGAAGGCTCGACCCATCTAACATCCCCCTGACGTCAAGAATAGTGTGTACGTACGTGTTGATGCTTGCTCAGAGTTTGCTTACAAACGAATCGATTTTATTTGTACCGTAATCGAATAAGTAACAATGGACGTTGACGAGGACTACGACTCCGACTCCGAGTATAGTGATTACGACACCGGGCGATATGATAACCGTGATTTTCCCTTAGTAGGTATGTTTTTAGGCCCGAATTACTCGACGCGGCGTATGGGATATATATATGTTGCGCTCCGAAAAAACATTATGTATCCACGCAATTCTAAATATATGTAAACATCTGTTGTTTGGAAATCCAAATCGCGCGTGAACGTGAAGCGAATATAAGGATCAGCTGTACTGACAGTTAAGTCCTCGTCTGCTGCGGTAACTTGCTGCATCGTTTTCGAAGGCTTGTTTCCTGTTGCCGCACTGGTAAACTAGTGCGATAAATTAGAATAAGAACAAGTGTATGTATATTTTTTCCTTATTTCAGCTCGCTGCACCACCCGGGGAGAAGAAGAAGTCGGGACGACGTCAATTTCGTGTCGCATTGGCCAGATTTGCGTCAAATTTTGGTCGATTTGACGCCACGTTGACCAAAATCCGACATAAATTTCGTCAATGCGACACCAAACTGACATCGTCCTGGCTTTTTCTTCCCCTCGGTGAGTTTCACCAGTGCAGGAACAGAAAACAAAACAAAGCTATAGATCATGGCATAACCTACGTATAAAATGACGCACTTGCGCCTCAGACTGCTCGAATGTCCAATGTTCAAGTTGAACTGTTTTACAGAGTCCCCGCGTAGCGGCCTAGATGAGGATCATGAAAACTGGTCAGACGTAAGCACGGTTGAGCTAGGTATAGTCTCCGATATGTTTTACATCTTAACGGATACCACGGTTCTCCGCAAGTAACTTGTAGTAGGTGCCTTCCGTTTAGCGATGCTGGTCGACACAACGTCATTCTGGTTCCCTTCGCACTCGACAAACTATAAGGACTGAACGACACTTGTGTGAACGGTCGCATCGCTGGCCTGGTCTGATATGTAGAGGAAGGTCCTCTATTATGAGATAGATTTTTTTATGTGAGACAGCAGGTTTTCGACGCCCAAATTCAATCGCGAATCTTTTTGCAACGACTACACGACTTGACAATCAGTTTTTTATCGAACAGATTTCACTCCAAGGGCAATAAGTGCAGGGTGTATCGAAAGGTAAGGTCAACCGAAGAGGAGGTGAAAGAGGAGCGTGAGTAGAACGCAAGATGTAAATGAAATTTTTTCGTATTTGCTATGGTTTAGGAAGTACAGCGCTTTACAGGGGTTGATAAAAAGTGTGGAACCTCTCAATATTTCGAAAAGTACGCGTTTTCGAGAAAAATGTTTTTACACAAAAATTGTAGGGTTAGTGAAGCATCACTTCACTTAGTCCCGGAGGAGAGTCCTTGGGATAAGCTACAATAGTCCTCTTTGGTTGATCTTACCTTTCGATACACCTTGTATAGAAGAAAGTTTCCTATTCTGAGGTAATGGATTTTCTATTAAATTAATAGGTGTCTTCTGTATGTTCCGCCGTGAATTTATTGCCCTTGGAGCAAAATTTGTTTAGTGGAAAATTTATTGTTAGGTCATGTCATTGTTGTAGGAAACAGATTTGTGATTGAATTTGGGTGTTGAAAACTTGCTGTCTCGTATTATAATCCTATCTCATAATAGAGGACTTTTCTCTACATACATATGCACTTATTCTGTCCATCACTGTACAGGATGTAACTAAGTGCTAAACATTCCTCACGTATAAAGGATGAAAATATGTTACATGAACATAGAGATGCTTCCTTCCTCATTTTGGAAAAAATATCGAATTATCAATTTGCAACGCCATTTATTGTCAACTGCTTGTGATGCTTGCACTTCCTGATGATCCTGAATCGTTTGAATACATTATGGGCACATTTATGAACATACAATAGTTAAAACTACCTGTTCAGTGATATGCGTTCAGTGATACAGCAATGAAGTAAGTGGAAGGAGGACTAATTACTTACTAAACCCAAACGTTTCCTGCTAGAGGACTTGCATAGGACGGATGACATTTTAAACAAGAACAAACTAGCTTGTGCACCCATAAAATGTACACATTTCAATCATATTAGATAAACAGTATTCATTTTATGTCTTTCTTTTTCTCTATTACTGGATGGGCTTTATGACAACAGTTATGCCGGTGTTTCACCATTTCCAGATGTTTGTACAACATATTTTCATCCTCTATATATGAGAAATGTTTCCTTCAACGTTTGGTTGTACCTTTTAATCACACCTTGTGTAGGTGTGCATTTGTACGTGCGCGCTCGCGTGTATAAAATATGTGTGTGTGTGTGTGTGTACAAAAAAAATTATATATCATCAAATGTATAACAAATTATAATACATTTGTAGATTTATCGAGTAACAGACTAGAGTCTAACATGGAGGACGTTCCAGTGCCCTCAGAGAATACATTTGATGTGACATTACCAGCGACACATTCTGTAAGTATTTCCCAGTATTTCAAAGATAACATCTGGTGTATTATTAGTCATGCTAATGTATAACATAAATTAGCACTATTATAATAAATATATTATTTGCAGTATTTAGGGCAGAATTTGGAGGAAGTAAGGGGACGGACTATATTGGACGATGGCATTTATATGAATCTACCGTTAGTAGTAAAGCAGTCTGTATTATTCCCTGGACAAACGTTACCTATGACAGTCTTTGGTACACAAACTATAGAGATGTTACAAGCGTGCATACAAAACGATCGTACTTTTGGTGTCGTATGTTACGGTTATCCTGACATGGAGCGAATAGGAACGACCGCAGAAATTTACGAGTACACGGACGGAGGTGTATTGCTTGATCACGGACGGCGAGAGTTTCGCCTGAAGGCTAAAGGCAGGCAACGCTTTAAGATATTACGTATTGTAACACAGGTTGGTTTTTACACGATGTGTATACAAATATACATTAGATTTACGACTGCTAGCTTGTATTGGTTTATTCAAAAAGCACCTTTGAATAAATGATAGTTAAATGTATTGAGATCATGTAAAAACTATTAGAAAAGATCTGTATTTGTAATCTGAAAGGAGACATTTTAGAGTATATTTTTCATAAAAATTATTGACTAGATTTTTAGAAAAGTTTTAGGGGAGTCTTAATCAAGTTTTTGTATGTAATTTTATATACGAAATGATGTATATTTTCAACCTTTGACGTTTATATCTGATATCTGTAAAAACTCCCGACAGAAGTCGCAAAAAGAAGTTTGTTGTTTCTTTACCACTTTCAAAACAACGTAATTACATAAAAACTAATTATTGAATAAGCTACAATTTAATAATTGGCACTGGTATTTTTAAGTATAGAATATTATATGTACAGAGTGATGGACAGAATGGTTGCAACACATTTTTAATGACGTAAAGAATTATTTGACGTCAGTGCATGATTAACTAATGTAGAAAAATTGCTAAACGACGCTTGACTGGCAAATTGTAATTAAAAAAATTTATTGCGAAAAATATTACCTCGGCCAGGGTTTGAACCTGGACTTCCCTACACTCTAGGCGGGCGTCTCACCAATTCGACTGTTGTGGTAATATCCTTCGCAATAAATTTCTTTAATTACATTTTTAATCAGTTTAGAAATGTGCATTTAGATGCAGGTTGTGCTTCAAAAATCTTCTCCGAAGAATATTTTACTTGATGGCCATTTCGAAACCATTTTGAGCGTTTTCGATCCATTTTTCGAGTAAAATTTTTCTCGCAGAAAATATTTTGGAACATACACCTTTAATCTAAATGCACTTGCCTAAACTCATTTAAAACAAAGTACAACCATTCTGTCCGTCACTGGGAATATTAAAGATTTTAGTTTTGGATGTTAATATAATTTTGGTTATTTAAGTAATTAAGTGATTATTAGTTATTAATTTTTTATGTTATTTATAATCAGGATAATAACAAAATTTCGGCAAATGTTAAAGTATTACCAGAGATAACACTTGAGCCACCATTTTTGGACCAACGTTTAGCCTCATTAGATCACTTGAGAATCTCTGTCGATTCTGAGGAAGATATGAAAAAGCAAGAAAGAGTAGAAAATTTTGATGCTGCAGTAACTGCTTGGCCAGCTTGGGTCTATAGACAGTACGACCCTATAAGACTCTCCTTTAGAATACGTCAGCACTTGCAATTTCTTGAGACTAGTATGTGTTGTGATCATATGAAAAATTATGTCGCTTTGACACTTATTATAATTTTTAGAATTACAATTTATATTTTAGGAGGTGGTAGTGTACCTAAAGATCCCGTAGATCTGTCCTTCTGGGTTGCACAAAATATCCTAATGGATCACAATGAAAGACTCATGTTATTAACTTATGATTGTGCTATTTCCCGATTGCAAAGAGAAATGAAATATCTCGTAGAAGTATGTATGAAATAGTATCATGCCATAGTATAACTAGTAGGTCCACTCTGTCATTTGTCTCGTTTTGCGTCTATCCCTTCTGAGCATCCAACATTTTGTTGGTGCAGCCAATGAGAAGAAAGTTGTATGTGGGGTAGTAGAGTTTGATGAGTACGCACTCATACGTACGTATGTGCGTACATACACATATGCTGCTGGATTTGTACCAAAAACATGGCGAAATACCATGTATTCGAGACTACAAAAATCAAAGGAGCCGACAGAGAGTGGACCTACTAGTTATACTATGATCATACTATATATTAAACCGTACTTTTTTGGTATATAATCTTTAATATCAATGTCTGTTATTTGAAGGATAAGATATATGTATGTGTTAATTGCGAATCCTTCATTGGGAGACAATCACATATGTTCCCGATGAATAAAGAAGGCCCACAGGGTACTTATGTCAATCCTGGCGGTGTTATACATGAAACTATAACTTTTTATCATGTTCAAGGTGTTGTACTTAACAATTCAGATCCTTCAATTGAGTACAGCTGGTTTCCAGGGTAAAATGCAACGTTCTAGCATGTAAAAAAATCATGCGTAAAATTTTATTCTACTTCTCATACATGTGTCATTTTAGATATGCTTGGACAATAGCTATCTGTAAAGGCTGTCGTCATCATGTTGGCTGGAAATTCACAGCGGTGGGAAGTGATTTAAGACCCAAGGAGTTTTGGGGTCTAACGCGCAGAAGTTTGAAAAATAAAGACTTAAAAGTTAAGAAGAAGAAATAAAAAGAGGATCAAAACAGTAATGTACATTATGCATCATAAATGTCTCAATAATCGTTAGGTGAATATTTTTTGAAGCAGTATAAGTCATGTTTATATATTACGATCAGTACATTATTTTGAAAATGGGGAGAGGCAATCAATAGTTTTAGTCCAGTTAAAATACAATGTTTTATTACGTCATTGTGTTCAGAAAAATATACTGAGCAACATATCCAAATTCCGCCATCCCTAAGTATGTTTTTTTACTAACAATTTATAAACAATATCGTTTTTCTCCACAAATACGATGAATTTCGAAATTAGTGTAGAGATCAAAGTTGTAGAGCAGACAAATATCTACAAAAAATGTTCTTATGAATTGTTTGAAATATCTCATATTATTTGAGATATTTGCAACAAGAGTTACTAGGCTACGCGCGGAGCGGTTGTCTAATCGTATTTTGACTGGACTATTTGTACACGAAAGAATTATATTTTATAAACGCCATATAAGGATTTCCCTGAATAAAAATTTCTTAAAGTACGAAATGTAATATAAAGTTATAGCCATTGTTCATGTGTTCAGATTCAGCTTTTAAATTCTTAACACATCGTAATCGAACAACTCGTTTTAATTCTCAGTCTATTTTAATGGCATATTTGTAGATTAAAATGTTTAAATCGTATGTATATTTCTATTTTGTTTATACATGGTCAAGTAATAATTGTAAGGTGATAAAAGAGCAAAAGAGTATCGTAATACCATACAAATAGGAAGATTAAAAGTGCTACGAATATAAAGGTGATAGGAAATGTAATTTTTAAAAATTATGCATAATGATATACAAGTATTTAAATGTAACCTGCTTTTTTAGAATTCTTAAGTTTCTATTTCATATATTAATAAAAAGAACATTTATGGTGCTTAATGTATAAATTATATATGAGTTTTGTTTTGTTTGTAATTTAACTAGCTATGCTTGGACAATAGTGATTTATAAAAGATACTTTGTATATGGGAAAAATAGTTATAGTAATAAAAGTTATAAGTTATATTAGAAAGAATTTGAAATAATTTCTATAGATGCTACTGCAAATTGATCAGTTATTTCTCCTATTAATTAAACTTTGTAAGATCTTTTCCTTTTTATTATTATAAATTATTGTAAAATATTGTAAAACTTATGTTAAGAAATATATTGTGCTTTTGTATAATCTTACTCACTTAATGCTTTGAACAAGAAAAATGGTTAAAATATTTGTTGAGCAAATTTTCAGATTTTATTTAATGTATATAAATAAATTCCTTTTATTTGTGGAATTTTTATTATGATGAGATGCATATGTATATACTTATGTATAATATACATATAGTTTGCTGATACATTTATGTGTAAACCATATTTCTGTACTGGAATTTTATTACAATGACACATATTTTATTGTAATCTTTAAAATTTAGATTTAAAAATAAAGTGTGTACAAGACTAAAATAAAATATATACGAAATTTTATATATTACAATTTATTTAAGATGAAATATTTGTATGTGTATGCCCGTAAATCTCTCTCTCTCTCTCTCTCCCCCCTCCCTCTCTCCCTCCCATATTAAAGTAAAGAATAAAATATCTAGTCGTTCAAATAATTATAAGCGATAATATATGTTCTATGTAGAAGCTTATATTTGTCTAGAGTGTCTAGGAAAATTAAAGAGACTTGTTTTATGCTAGAACGACATGTGTATTAATTTTTTCATTAACACATTGCTTTACATTATTGTTTACATGAACGTGCAAAGTAATAGTTTAATGTCGTCTAAAGTAGACGACAGATCTAACCCTAATTAATAGGTCTAATTAGATTTTCATGTAAAGCTTTGCCTTATTCGCTATTGTTAAAAAAATAAGAAAATGTATTTTCCCTGAAACATTTAAGCAGATTGTGTCCCTTTTCGCAACCAGTTCCAGCTGAAACAATACTTTAATGTTTCATTCTGCTTTCATTTAAGAGAAATGTTTGAGAGAATTGAAAGAATCATAAGATTACAATATCAATTTTGTAATGGATAAAATTGACCTAGGCTCTTGTTAAATGCATATTATACTTACTAATGTCTTTGCATGCATTATATGCTGCTTCGAATTTTTCTTGCGGTATGTCTGCTGGCAATTTACTACGAGCTAGCTCCCACTCAATCTCTTCGTCTGCATTCATCTGGCACAAGCAACATTAGAAAAATCAATGTGTTCTTTACTTATTTTCTTAATGCACACATTATAACGAAATACAAATATTGCTTACAATTCCCATTTTCTTTAACATACAGGTACCAAAGCAGGCAAGCTTTTCGTCATTCTCCGGTACTTCCCCTTTTGTTCTGATATTTTCCAGCACAGCTGAAATTCAAATTATTATTAATGTATATATCATTTATTTTAATTTTGTAATTACGCATATAATTTATTCTTCACTTGCTTGGATCGATCCCAGTTTCAGTGACACAGTCACTTCTGTACTGTCTCAATTTTGCCTTTTGTTCATCAGTTAACCCACCCTACAGTCAAATAGATATTTAGGTATTATTATTCACATTTGGATATAAATTCACATTTTTGGCATGTCGTTTGCATGAATGTACAAGGTGATATTTTAATGTCATCTAAAGTAAATGACAAGATCTAACTAGTCGTCTTTTAAATATGTATGTCTGAAAGATGACTTAAAGTTGTCTTAAAGATGTCTTTTAGACATGTATACTGTATGGGTATAATAGGTCCAATTAGGTTTTCGAGTAAAGTTTTGTCTTATTCGCTAATGTATGCCTATTGTCAGTAATTTTAATGCATTTATAAATGTGCATCTTCTATTTAAGATGTATCAGACGATCAAGAAATATTTTTTACAATATTTAATTTTCATTCTGTAAAAATTAAATACGTTAAGAAACAATACGCAGTCTAACATGAGAAAAATTAGAAAGAAATGCGAAAACTTTTACAAATAGAAGGTTAAAGATGTATGTGAATAGTAAGTTTGATAGAATTAAATTGAATATACTAAAAAATGATTAAATAAAGGACAAATAAAAACAAGCCATATATTTTCCAGAGAAGTAGATTAAATACATTATTAGCAAAGATAATAGTCTTACCAAGACAGCAACGAGAGAAATTGCAAGCACTATTACAATTGCTTTCATGTTTAATTTTTCTTTTCGACACTATGTAGTTTAAGTCCGTGATCAAATATAGTTACTGGCTAACCATGAGATACTATCCTAAGCTTTTATAGTCTGTGATATAACGCTTATGTGCTCTCCTTGATGATCTCTGGTACCATGCGTGGGGGAATGTTTGAATCACGTCCGTTATCCTTCCGAGGAAGCAATAAATCATGGCACTAACAGCAAACAATACAATATATTCATGTTTCTAGTCTTGAAATTCTGCTACTAATATTTGACAAGTATTAACAGCAGAATTCATTTTAACACTTGTTAGTTGATTTTATACATATATGAGTGAAAACTTTATCAAGTGAAAAATAAAAAACAGCATACTAAATAAGAGATTCTATAGTTTTAATTTCAATTATAGCTATAATGATTGGTAAACTTCTACAGGTTGGGGACTAAAAGGAATATTGAATTTTCTGAAAATTGACATGAAGGTAAGGGAAAGAATCCCATTTTACTGTAACTTTATACTTTGTAAATATAATAATAATAATAATTCAATAAACTAAACATCTTGTGGGACTAGAGAGAGAGAGAGAAAGAGAGCGAGAGAGAGAGAGAGAGAGATGGCTGATTATTTACAAATTTACGCAATAACGATGTGACATTGTGATGACAATGGAAAATTAAGAAGAAACGGAGAAAATACATATATAATCTGATATCATTTAATGAGAAAATATAGATAAAATTATTAGTGCTTGAACATTATTAATACTATCTAATTATCTCAATGTATTGACATTATTGAAAGCTAAGGTTTTTTTTAGACATACAATGAAACGCGCAGTTTTTCAAAGATTATTACGCAGAAGTACTTCCTGTCGTATAAAAACGAAACTTTGTTATTTTAATATTTTTCTCGGTAATAAGTATAGGAACACTGTTTTTCTTGTAATTATTTTTGAAATGAATGTTTTATCTAATAAAGATGAGCATCGTCTGCCAGCTACAATTTCCTTGAAATTATTGTGGCTATGCCGATTAGAATTTTATGATTCTGAGCGTCAATTATCTCATGGTATTCACACATACACAGCACACATCGCGCACGCGTCATCATCATCATTATATAGTCGATTTTATATAATTTTTTCCCGTATATACGATGTGACATTGTCATGGTATTAAAGTATAGGCGTCCTTCCTGTCATAAAAAGATCACTTAGCGCGATAGCTCTGACGCTTTATTTAGTTTACACATGTATACATTTCATATGAATAATCCTAGCGATTCAAGTAAAGTTGGTGGAGATGTGCACAAGGACGATTTGTCGTTTCTGAGATTGATTATTGTTAACTTTGATACTGTTGATAATAGGTGTTTCTAGTTAACATTTTTGTTTTTACATTTATCGCGCGTGTTATCACTTTGTATATTCCGTGTATAAATAATTAGACACCGATTGGATATACAGCTTCTTAAAACGTTATATCTTCAAAAAAGAAAATATAATTATAATTTTTCTCAGTAATAACGTGTCAGTTTTGACAATATTTTATTTAACAAATTTAATATTGCATAACAAGCAATATTTGATTAAGGGGTTACAACGCTCTAGAAATTTCAAAAAATCGAAACTTTCGCTTAAACGATGCTTTAAGGTCTTAGAAATAAGGTACATTTGGTTTCAAATAGATTTATTACATCTCGAACATATCTTTTTAAACATTTAGACCAAAGTGTCTGCGTACGCACGCGTGAGTGTGTATGTTTGTGTACGTTTGTGTGCTGAAAATGGTGTGTATTCTCTAACTGCTGCAAAATTTGAGAGATCGGTGATTTTATTTTATTTTTTAGATTAATAAAGTATCATTGAAGGAAGATTAGTATTGAATTTGGTGTTAATTGGTACAAGGGTTCAGTTATGCATACATATACATATAATATTTATTTTAACTTCAGCATACACACACACACACACATATGCTAAGGAGTGGACTTGATTTACAAACAGTGCCTTAACTTATTCATACCTTTACACTCTCTTATAACTATTCTGCCTAATTCCGAACCCAAGCTTTTATGTACATACTTTTATATATATCCATATTTACATAATTTACACAATATATATATAATACCTAATTTATTACATTTGTACTGCTTAGCTCGTTTCACATTATCTTTACAGTGTCTTGGTCTCTACTTGCTGTTTATTACCTCCTTTATCGAGCTTTACTTATCACTCCTTTCCTCGTTACCATTCTCTTGCTTAACAATTCTACGCTCTCTTTCTTTACATAATTTCCTAATTACTTTTCCTATTATTTTATCTGATTCGTCGCTCCACATTTTATTATCTCTCTTTAGTTCTTTCCTAATTCATCAAATCATCCTCTCGTTTCCATGCAATCGGTCACAGTGTTCTAAAGTATCTTGTCCTAAGTTACAGAAAACGCGGCTCCTCTCATCAATATCTAACCCATATTTATTATTTATCTCCAGGTTACCGCATCTCTGACACTATCTCCTAAAATTTGCTTATCTAAACTCTTCTTTCTTAGGTATCTTACCCTTAATCTTTCCCCTAAATCTCCTTTCTCCTTATATCTTTCGTTATATCTAGATTCCATTATTCTATTACCTTTCAACTGCCTTTGTGAGTGTCTCTCTCTTTCTACAATCTTCTCTCTCCAGTTTTCATTTTCTTCTCTCAAGTTTTCTAACGCCTCTATCCCCCATGCATTCATAAGTCACAAAGTACCTAACGAATTATACTTTATTATAGTGTTTTGGAAAGCTCTCGTGTTAATTTATAAGAATATGTAATGAAAAAAGCGGTTTTATTTAAAAAATTTAAGGTGTTCTTTACTGAGTGACTTTAACGCGTAAATCAAGGTATTATTATACTGTATTATTATATTATATAATGCATAATTTAAAACACTACAACTTTGATTTTGAACATTTTTTCTATATTACATATTTTCAAATTTATTCAAATTTATTTTAACCTTACAAAATATATGTATACCTATTATATTATGTAATATAATACACGTGTATACCATTTGAATATCCAAATTTAAAAAAATAAAAGTGCTTAAAAATAAAAAATAAATTTATAAGAAAAACCTTATGCTTTTATATGAACTACAAGCATGTGTGGAAACACGGAAGAGCATATGATTGTAATAAAGGCAAATGAAGATTTATTGAAAAAGAAAACTTAGAATTGATTTATATACATCGAATATGATTTATTAAACGCAAATCAATGGCCGCGTTCAGCAGACACAATAGTTGAGTAAGCGCCTCAGTATGATTGGTTAATACTTTTAGATCCAGCCAATTATATTAAGAAATCATTGAGCGCTCACTCAACAGTTGTGCTTGCTGAACGTGGCCAATGTTGTCATGTATCATCAACAGATGACAAATGTCAATTGTTTCGTTAAGATAATAGAAATAAAGAAGAGTGGAAACTGAAAATTTGCACATTGCTTCCTCATCATCTGGGCAAGTTGTTTCAATTTTGGCTTCTTCATAGAGGAAGCTTTGCGAGTTAAGGTGTAACTTGAAAATTGCTGCCTCAGAATTTTAATTTCCTCATCATCTGGGCAAGTTGTTTCAATTTTGGCTTCTTCATAGAGGAAGCTTTGCGAGTTAAGGTGTAACTTGAAAATTGCTCCCTCAGAATTTTAATTCACACACTTCTTTTATAAGAAAACCAATAACTCGCATGTACATGGAAGGAGAATTAAAAACTTGCGCATGGCTTTCTCATACGGGAAAGGCTTTGTGTGCCACTTAAAAATCTGAGAAAGCAATTTCGAATTTCTAATTTACACCTTAATTCACAAAGTCTATGAGAAAGCCAAAATTGAAAAAGAAACAACTTATCCAGATGATGAGGAAGCAACGTGTAAATTTCCACTTTGCACATTTCTTAAATTTTTTAAATACATCTTTAGCTGTGATCGTTTATTAACTTATCTTGCAAAGTATCTATTAATGAGCTTAAATCCTTCACTGTTTTCTGCAATTTGCAAATTTTATTGTTGAGAAATTTTACTTCCTTCTTTTTTGCATGCAGTTCTTCAAACAGTACTTCCAAACATGCTTCTGCTTCTAGTGGTGATTGTGAAACCTTTTTGACATCTATATCATAAATTGTTATTAAATTTTTTAGAGGCACTTCTTCTAATGAGTGTTCCATTGACAGGGATCTGTAATACAATTAACATATCAATTTAAACTCGGGCCTGCAGCGGCATTGCATGTTTTGACCGATTTTGTTTACTACTATCTCCACTTCTCTCATGTTTTTATATGAACTACAAGCATATGAAAACACATAAAAACATATGATTGTAAATGCAAATAAAGATTTATTGAAAAAAAAATTATGAATTGATTTATTTATATACATCAAATCAGGATTGGAAAGTAACTCGTTACTTGTAATAAAGCATGTATTACAGTTACAGTTACTGTTTTTGGTAATTCTAACTTAACTTTGTTACTTTCTCTCTATCTGTAACAGTAACTTAACTTACAATCAGTTACGTTTTGTCGATAAGTAACTAGTTTAATTTTAATTTAAAATTTAAGTTTAATTTAAAAAAAAAACAGTAACTAATTTAATAGTTACATTAATAGTTATTTTATATATATTTTAAACCTCCACAGATCGATCAGGTCTTTGCGCATAAACGCCTTTATCTACACTTTACAATTCAAATACTGATTTGATATTTTCATTTTTATTGCAAGAAAGTAACTGCAAAGTAACAATTCGTTACTCTTTTAGTAACTATGCCTGTAACTGTAACGCGTCAATTTTTTATAATTAGTAACTTGTAACTACAACTAGTTACATTTTTAGCGAACAAAACTGTAACTAGATACTTTTATAAAACAACTTGCCCAACCCTGTATAAAATAGATGTTGAACGCAAATCAACATTGTCATGTATCATGAACAGAATGACAAGTAAATATTAAATGTTTTGTTAAGATAATAGAAATAAAGTGGAAATTGAAAATTTGCACATTGCTTCATCTGAGCAAGTTGTTTCAAGCATGTGGGCTGTTTGCAAAAACGTAAGACGATTTCAGGGACGATATTAGCTACAAATCATACGGCTTTGGCATGTGTAATCCCACAAGATGTCCCATCCCATCCACAAGAATCCCATTTTACTGTAACTTTATACTTTGTAAATATAAGAATAATAATAATTCAATGAACTAAACATCTTGTGGGACTAGAGAGACAAAATTGGTCAAAATGTGCAATCCAGCCGCAAGCCTGATTTAAACATAAAAATAATATATCGACAATATTCATTACTTAACATCTTGCTTGTAAACTAATGTTACCTTTTCAAAGAGGCATGTGTCACATTGCAGTGTTGTGTGTTTTGTATACTTTGTTCCTTAGAGCTGCTACAATCGGTGATTTCCTCAGCTTTCAGAGGCGAATTTAGATGTAAAAGTGCTTCTGTCTCTAGTGGCAATTGCGAAACTTGTTGGCTGTCTGTATCATAAATTATTTTTATATTTGTTACAGGTACTTCTTCAAGTAACTGTTCCATTGACAGAGATCTACAACACATACAATTGACGTATGAATTTAAATATAAAAATATTATGTAAACAATATTTAACGAAGGAGACTTTGCTTATTGTCACCAGTAATGACTAGAAATGAGACGGGAAACTAATAGTCAACCCAGCTGGCTAATTATTTAATCGATTTATTACACAATGTTTCAACCCTATTTTTTATTATTGATTAAATTAACTTTTTTATTAATCAATTTTTTATTATTCGATAAAATAATTAGCCAGTTGAGTTGACTATTAGTTTCCCGTCTCGTTTCTAAACAATATTTATTATTTAATATATTTTGTAAATTACTATTACCTTTTCAAAGATGTATGGCTTATGTCATATGTGTCCTGTACATTTTTTCCCTTTATTCCAGAGCTACTGCAACCAGTGACTTTCTTAGTTTTTGGATATAAATTTAGTGACGGAATTGCATTAGGTTTTAAATATTTTCTTCCTCCAGTTACACTTATCGTGAAATCCTCCTCTGTGAAGTGTTTTGAACAAAGTTTTGCATTTGGATTTATTTGTTCCATATTTAGTATAGACAGCCATACTTTCATAATTTCTTTCTTTTTTGGAACTCTAAAAATGATAATAAAAGTATTACTTATTTTGCATAATTCAATGTTATTATTGTCATGAAATATTTATTAATGTTCGAAATGTCTCTTTTATGTAAAACACTACACGTAATCTAACCTCATATAACTTTACTTTATAATTTATATTAAACACTATTACACATTAATTTTATCGTACAATACATAGTTTATATGTAGATTTAATAAAACTATGTAAATTATGTATGTAATTATAGTTTCATAACAATAAGAGTTTATAAGAAAGTTTGTATATTTACTTATGCATTTGTATATCTCTTTCCTTCTGGTAAGTAGTTTTGCACAAAAGACATCTCACAACCATCTTTAAAAATGTGATCAAATATCAGTTTAGTTAGATGGTTGTTGTGATGACTCAATCCCGTCAATTCTTGATCGCATACAAGCAATTTTAGTACGCGAGGTATGTGACATGCATCGTTGGAAAGGTTATCTCATGGGTCTCGTGCCGGGAATCAAGCCTATCCATGGTGGAA